TAATATCAAAAAAGTTATTCCAAACTACTAAGATCTGACTGATCCCCTCCCCAATAAAAAAAAAAAGACTCCTCAGTGGGTTCTTTAAATTCTAATAAAATAAATAATGTTGAGAACCAGGCTAAATATAATCTCAAAGAGAAATAACAATGCCAAGGGTAACAAAAGTGAATTCTTAGAGAAACAGAGACTATGAACAAAACATTCTAAAAAATGAACGATAGAGAGAAAATATCCAATAAATGGCTGAGATGGGATCACACCTCAGTTTGAAGCCAAAAATCTCTTTTGAGTTTTGAAGGGTCTGTATGGCTAATTTTTGGAGAATAAAACATCAATCCATCTTAATCTCAGTACATGAGATTAATACAAAGTGATCATTGAACTGTAACTAACAATAACTAAAAAAAAAAGGGTGACACTTTAATTCAAAAATATGAAAACAATAAACAAATTGTAATGAAAAAAATGTAATACTTAATTGCATTAATGACAATCTTACATTCCAGCAAATATAGGTACAACAACACAACAAAAAAATCTGCACAGTTGGTGGTAGAGAATGTCTAGATGAGCTTGGCATCACGATAATCAAAAGAATCCTGGTTAAAGTATACAGAAGAGATAATCAATTTATTTTATTAACAACTGTTGAAAAGACATCATAATGATGTAAGTTTTATTTTAATTTTCAAATTCTAGTACAAAGCATAGAAATGTTATGCTGCTAACAGGATATAATACAATGTTTTTCATGAAGTAAGACAATATTTGACCATCTTATACAATAAATGGATAATTACATGTGTATTTGCTGCACTAATGGTTGTTGGTAACGTTGTAACAGATGTATCCATTGCTGTGAAGGTACTGCTACTTGCTTTTATAAGCTGGCAATGCCCTGTAAGCAATGACCTTGTGTAACCAACTTTACACTTGCACAAGCCTTGCCGAGCTCTGGTGTTTCTGAGGGCACAGTATTCATTGATGGGACAATATTCATCTACACCATATAAACAATTTTTCTTCCGTGATGGTGTCACTGGAACTGAGTTGCTTGCATCTGTGGTGACCTGAGAAATTTTATTACCTTCAACGATGTAGGGTGTTTCACTATTGTCAGTCTCTCGAGGTATTTCTTCATCTAGTATGGACATCCATTCTTCAGGCTGTAAACTAAAAGACCTGTTGTAAGTAAAAAAAAAATGTTTGAATAAATGTAGCATATGGGGGAGAAGACATGTATTTTCTTTGTCTTTCCTTCTTTACAACTGCTAGATTAAATACATTGTTACTCTTTACACAGCTGAAACTACAGAAACAAAAGGACTAGAAAATATGTTCATAATATAATTGTCCGAAAAAAGTAAGTCTAACAGTGGACGAAACAGTTTAAAGGCAATAATAAATTTACTTTATATAGAAGATAAACAGGTATGTCCACCAATAAAAGTGAAAAAGATTTAAAAATAAAACTGTCTGTAGATATGCACAAAAGATGTGATTATGTACAATAGCCACAAAACATATAGATTTAATTCTAAAAGAAACTAAAAAACTTACTTTTCTTACACAGATAGCTCAGAAACGGTCACACCCAAAAATAACCATAATAATAATATTCCAACAGTGAATTGTTATGCTTAAAATTTGAATCCAAAAAATATTTTTCCCCATACAGCATTTTGTGGAGAAATTTGGCCTTAGAGTTTGGAGCTTTCACCGTTAAGCAAATATAGGGAAATCTTCACTCTAATTGCAAGTAAACCAGTGTAGTCTGGCAGTAAAAGATGTTATGAAGTTGAGCAATCAAATTCTACCTCCCTCAAATAACATTTCTATAGATTTTTTTGAAAAAAAAAGTTAGAAATCCTAATGACTATGTCAAATACTACTTAAATACGGTACACATTTCTATCAAACCTTAACTTTTGCATTTCATTAGAAAAGAGTATGCTTGTTTTGAGTACACATCTCCAAGTACTTCACTAAAAATTCAGCAAGTTTATGGTTATAAATTTCAGTATTTGAGATAACAGGTCTGATAAGGAAAAGTTTATATGAAATTCAAAAAGTATTTTATTTAACAATAAGTTTTGTACAACATTTTATTAAAAGTTTTATCCACTTTAGTTTGCACAAATTATAAGGATTGTGGAGAAAAAGTTTGCAGTTTACAAGGCTGTTCACAAATATTAAACCATGTGTACTACCCACTTCCCAACAAGTAACAAGATAAAAACAACTTAAACTTACTTTTCATTCCAGGGAAAATCTTTCTGATCTGAAAAGAAAACTGACTTCAGGTAAATATGACAGTTCAGAAAAACATTATTTTTTTAAACCATTTAACTTAACCTTATGTATACAATGGGGTTCAAAGTTTGCATGTCACAACCTTTTTTTACAGAATTACATTCAAAATTTAAACAACTTTATTATCAATAAACTTAGTATAAAAATGCAATTTATAATTCAAAGTCTTATATCAGCTAAGCTTTATTTCTTATTTTGCCAAAGAAAATATTTAAATAAATTCTTAATCTTGACTCATGTATTTTATGTGACACATCTCTCTTATTTTTTATTTTCTCCATTTCAAATAATAAATATTAACAAGTACAAATGTCTCACCTTCTTGAATTAGTAAGATATAATTAAATTTGTGACACCCACCACCGAGGCTCTTCCCACCTTGTCATAGTTTTGAAGGAATCTATCTATATTATGTGTCCTTTTGTAGAGATTTTTTTATAGCCAACAGAAATTAAATTTTCTCCCCTACCAGAACCTGCTAATGGTTATTTGTTCTTGGCATGCACTTTTTGACAGCTTGCCTCAGACTGTTTTTGTGCAGTCTTTAATGCTGAGCTCCGAGTGGCTAAAAGAATTTTTAAACCTATTTGTAACTTAGTTAGAAAGCCAGTAATAGTTTTAAGATATTTTATATTTTGTGTGAAATAATTTTTTGTGTTTTAAGTTTCATATTCAAAATAACATTTAAAATATTTTGGTCACAAACATCGTTACAAAAAATGTAAGCATACAGATATTCATCTGTCAACAGCAAAAAGTAAAAGTCCAGACAAGTACATACTAAATGTCTTGTTTCTAATATACAATTTTTATTTACTGTTATAAAAGGAACTAAAATGAAAAATTAATAACTTACTAAGTGAAATAATAAAATTTAAATGAAACAGAATTTAATAAAAAAATTTCTTGTGATAGTAAATATCATAGGATGTGAGCAAGGTGAGTTTGTAACAGATTCGTGTTGTATTTGTAACTCAATATTTTATTTACAAAAAACTGTGCAACTGTGATAAATGGCTTATGGCACACTCTGAGAAGGTCTAAGTGCAGCTGTAAAGCAATAAGAGTAAATGAACCCACATTTGAGAAGTCTTTAGTGGTAAGAATATATAGTGTGTAAATCTCTGTTACAATAAGCAGTCATTCTAGAAAGAAAACAAAATTTAGATTTATTTTGTATTTTTCAACTTTTCATTTTACCCTACATTGTTGATTTCACTAGTTAGAATTAGGGTAGAAAAAATAACATAAAATATAATGTTTTACTGATAAAAATACTTTTGACATTTATTTTGGATGTTTTAGAGGTTATGCAAAATAAATATGAAAACTAATAATGCTTGGAGACAGCTTGAATGGGTAATGAAAAAAAAATTAATATAAGTTTAACATAACAGCAAATGTACAAAGTTTCAACAAGGTTTTGTCATCATTAGGTACAAGTAGTTTACACTGACACAGATATATATATGTACAATATGGAACAAATAGGCAACATGACCTGATACTGTTGCAAGACTTAGAAGAGATATCCTGGCACCCCATGGTGTTGATTTAGAGTAGGGTTGTTTTGTTCAATTAAGATGGATTCC